AGTGCCCCAAGTAAGTAGCTACTAGAGTTTAGGATTCCCCTCTTCCCACCTTGATTTAAATCATGTTTCAGAATGTTTTTCTATCTCTCCTTGGGCTCCTGATTCGAGCTAATATTGTCAAAGTCTGTCTTCCAAACCACAGAGAAATGCTTCTATGTGGCACCATCCCGATTAATGCAGGCCCTGTGCTGGAACTGTCCTTTTCAGTGGCATAGGCCTAGCCCTCTGCAAGCGGCTACTAGCAGAAGACGAGGAGCTTCACCTGTGCTTGGCGTGCAGGAACATGGGCAAAGCGGAAGCTGTCCAAGCTGATCTGCTGGCCTCTCACCCCAAAGCCCAAGTCACCATTGTGCAGGTGGATGTTAGCAACCTGCAGTCGGTGTTCCAGGCCTCCAAGGAGCTCAAGCAAAGGTATGCCTCTTGTTGGCAGGTTTTCTCTCATATGATGGTGAATTATTTTATAAAATGAGAAAGCATAATACAAATATAACATCCTCAAATGCCCCAGGGTCTAACCCAGTACTTGGAATGTAAGAGCGACTGAATGAATATTTGTTGAAGGAATGAATGAATTAATCAGTGTGTCTGAATCCCTGAAATACTATTCAAAATATGTGCTAACAGACCTTTGTACCTAAGTAAATACACATACAACAATAATACCAACCTAGTGAAACAGGAGCCCTGGAGGCACAGCAGTTAAGTGCTTAGTTGCTAACTGAAAGGCTGGCAGTGCAACCCCACCCAATGGGAGAAAGACCTGGCAATCTGCTTCCATACAGATTACAGCCAAGAAAACCCCATGAAGCAGTTCTACTCTGTCACATGGGGGTCGCTATGAGATGAAAAGGGACTCAATGGCGCCTAGCAACAACAACGACCTTCTGTGGAGGAGTCCCTAGGTGGTGCAAATGGTTAAGCGCTTGACTACTAACCTGGCTACTAACCGCAAGGTTGGACGTTTGCACCCACTCAGAGATGCCTCAGAAGAAAGGCCTAGTGATCTGTTACTGAGAGGTCACAGCCACGAAGACCCTGTGGAGCACAGTTCTACTCTGACACACACGCCATGAGTCAGAATGGACTGGAGGGCAATGATTTGGCTTTGGTTTACCTTCTGTGGATAAGGTTTACGTCTCAATTTCCAATCACGGTGGCTACTTCTAACTCTTCTTACTGCAGGCCAACAGCCTGCAGGTTTCTGCTTGAGCTCTATCCCAGAGAGGCTAAGGAATGCCTTAAGGGGTAAACACTTGTAAATGTTGATCTCACGCAGTGTGATTCTCTTCTTTTAAGGGTCAAATACTCTTTTTGTTTTCTGCACATGTTGGGTCACCCTCCAGTGTCTTTAGATAGTTTTTATATATTTTTTTCCAGAGTTTACAATTGTTATTGGCACATAATTTAGTTTCATACACTTTATTCTGCTGTGACTGGAACTTAGAAGCTAGGGCTATCACTCTTGATAAATGTATAAATGGTAAATTGGAAGAACCTTTTGAGGGAAAAAATAGGTATTTGAAAAAAATATAGAAGAAAAATCTGCCTGAAGGCATTAGAGTGATAAAAATATAGCAACGAATTATCTGACCGTGATCCAGGAAAAGGCAGAAATCCGGAGGGGTGAGACAGCTGTTTAAGGCTGTGTTTGCTGTTTGGGTATTTGCCAGCCTAGGAAGGAGCCGAGAGATGGGGAGGGAGAGCAGCACTTTTAAGCACTCCGTAGGACTAGGAAGACAAAAGGAGGAGTCCAAAGCCCACTGTGTGGGGGTGGGGAGGGTAATCCCTCTATTTTGTGTAAAATCTATAAGGACTGTACTCTAAAAAGATATTGAGGCAGAACTAGATTGATTCCCACAGAGAAGCTTCTGATCATCTCATCCCTGAAGGTGGATAAAGGTGAGTGATCCCAGATGATAGTGCACACAGGCATGTGGCAGAAAAAAAAATCTAAATCCTTTCTCCAGGATAGTATTATCATCCTAGGCCTCAAATTATTTCTAAAAAAATATATATATATATATATATATTTCAAAAACAATGTCTACCATGCAATGAAAAATAGCCAAACACTGAGCAAATAAGACTGCGTGAATGAGAACCAGCATATACAATAGAAAACAGTGCCACACAGGGTGGTAGTTAATTGAAACTACCAGATGCAAACATTAAAATAACAATGCTTACAATGTTCAAGAAGTTTAAAGATTAAGAAGCTCAGCAGAGTACTAGAAACAAAAATAGCAGATTAAAAGAAATAGAACCAAAATATGCACTAGCAAAAATTAAATATTAGATGGATTTGCTTAATAAGAAATATGTCACCTCTATAGAGAGAATTAGTAAATTGAAAGAGTACAATTCCACAATGAAGCCCAGAGAGACAAAATGATGGAAAATACAGAAAAGCAGGCTAGAGACAGAGAGGACATAATAAGAAGGTTTAATATAAATAGTCTCTGAACAAGACAGTTATTGAAGCAGAAAAAATATTTGAAGAGATAATGCTTGAAAGGCATAACCACAAATTCAAGAAACACTACAGACCCCAGCCAGGGAAATAAACAAAACAACAACTAGAGCTAGGCATGTTACAATGAAACTACTAAGAACAAAAGCAAAGAGAAAATACTAAAAGCAACTAGAGACAAAGAACACAGTTCACCTTCACCCAACAATGATTAGACTGATAGCCAGCATCAGAAACAGGAACTATGGGCAGGCCACTTCCGGCGTAGCCATAGCGGCTAATGCTACCACTAACCCATCGCAGCTGCTGCCGCTAGAGCTTGCGGACAAGTGTATACGGTCGAGAATTCACACTGTGATGAGGAGTGATAAGGAAATTGTTGGCACGCTTGCTTCTAGGTTTTGATGACTTTGTCAATACGGTATTGGAAGATGTCACTGAGTTTGAAATCACACCAGAAGGAAGGATTACTAAATTAGATCAGATTTTGCTAAATGGAAATAATAAAACAATGCTGGTTCCCAGAGGAGAAGGACCTGAGGTATGAGTGGGTTTTCTTGACTTATGCTAGCTTCTGTTTTGTTTTATAAAGGCAACAAAATGGATTTTTTTTTTAAGTTTTTAATCTTGAGATTCTATAATGCTAAGTTTCTCGTTGAAGGGAAATCGTGTGAAGATGATTGTAAATGCCAATTTTTGTGAGTTAATCATGATGATCTTGGACAAAAAGTAAACAATATGCTGTTGGAAGACTAAAATAAAGGTGTTTTTGGGTATTAAAAAAAAAAGAAACAAACTACGAAATAATATTTTCATGCATTGAAAGAAATGAGCTGCCAATTGAAAATTCTATACCTAGCAAGAATATGTTTCAAGAATGATGTTGAAATAATGATATTACAAAATGTATCACCAGCAGTCCTACATTTAAGGAAAGAAAAAAATGGTGTTTTTCAGAAAGAAAGAACATGATCTGGGTGGAAAGTTAAAAATAAAAGAAGAAATTAAGAATGATCAAAAGTGCAAAATTACAATAAATCTAAGTGACATTGACTATATAAAACCAAGTATATGTCTTATAGGGTTTAAAATATATCTAGCATTTAAAAATTTTAAAATAATGGCATACTGTTAGGTGCCGTCAAGTTGTTTCTGGCTCACAGCCACCCTATAGGACAGAGTAGAACTGCCCTGTAGGGTTTCCAAGGAGCAGCTGGTGGATTTGAACTGCTGACCTTTTGGTTAGCAGCTGAGCTCTTAACCACTACCCCACCAGGGCTCCAACATAGAGGATAGGAATTGCTAGTAGGGGTGAGGTGGGGAATAGGGAAGTTGCTCTTTTATGTAGGGAGGTCAGGGGTGACCTCTCTGATTAAAGATTAAGTGACATTTGAACAGAAACCTGAGGGAAATAAAGAATAGGTAGATGTCTGAGAAAAGTGTTCCAGGCAGAGGGAGTTGAGAAAGGTCTTAAGAAAGGTGTATGTTTGTCATTTTCAAGGAATGTCAAATGAGGCCAGTGTAACTGGAGTAGAGTGGACAAGACAGAGAGCAGTAGGAGATAAGTTTAGAGAGATAGAGTGAGGACATTTTCAGCATTATTTCTTTCTCTTCCCAGTGGTGGGAAGCCACTGTAGACTTCTGAGCAGAGGAATGACATGATCTGACTATTTTTCAATGATCATGTTGGTTACTGGGAGACAAGAGTGGAAGCAGGGAGACGAGTTAGGAACTATGCAAATAGTCAGGTAAGAGATGATAGTGGCTTGAAGTGGTTGAATTCTGGATATGAAAGTAGAGCCAACAGGATTTGCTGATAAATTGGATGTGAAGAGAGAGAAGAATCTAGCAGTCAGCAAAGTTTTTGGACCAACTGACTGAGCAAATGGTAGTGCCATTACTAAGCTGGAAAACACTGTGGGAGAAGCAGACTTCTGGAGTGAAGTCAACATTTCAGTTTTTGGTATGTCAGTCTTGACTTGTCTATTAAATATGCAAGTAGAGAGGTTGAGTAGGCAGTTAGATACACATCTGGAGTTTAGAAGGAAGAAGGATTAGAAATATAAATGTGAGAATCATCAGCCAGCCAGGAAGAGAACACAGAGAGAAAAAAGAGGGCAGAGGACATAGTCTGTGTTATTCTACATTCAGAAGCTGGGAAGAAGAGGGGAATCTAAGAAAGGAGACTGCAAAGTAGCAATCAAAAGAGAGTGACCAGAAAAAAGGGGTGAGCAATCTATTGTGTAAAATAGTCCTGATATGTCAAGTAAGATGAGGATGGAGAATTGCTATTATATTTGGCAACATGGAAATCATTGCTGCCATTGACAAAAGATGATTCTGGGAACAAATACCTGATTGGAGTGGTTTAAGGGAGGATGAGAGAAGAGAAAATGGAGACATGAAGTATGGATGACTCTTTGAAGAGTCTTGCAGTAAAGGAGACAGAGAAATGAGATACCTGGAGAAGAATATGGGGGTCAAGGGAGGGTTTTTGAAGATGGTTGATATTAGCATATTTGTAATCAGTTGAGAATAATCCAGTAGGGAGAGTTTAATGCAGTAGAAAGGCTGATGAAAGAGGAGGGAAGGAGAGAATTGCCAGAGAATTGTCACAGTGGCATGAGGAATGAGAGTCAGTGTTCAGGTGGAGGGAAGGGGTCAGGTAGGTTGGGAGATGTGGTGGTGGGAGGGTGAAGATTTTTCTTTTGGCTGGTTCTCCTTTATCCTCAGTGAAATAGGAAGCAAAAGCAGCTAAAAATGAGGAGCAGGAAGGTGTGGAGGTTCTAGGAGAGAGGCAAATATGTTAAATAGTCAGTCTAGTAGAGTGGGAGAGAGAATATACTAGGGAAAAAAGGAAGGTTTTGAATTTTTTTTAAGGATAAATTTTTTATTGGAAATCCCTGGTTTCAACTGGACAAAAGTATATTACATGAAATAAAAGTATTGTTCTGGGTAGAATCATGAAAACTCATAAATTGGTCCAATTTTTATTATTAATTAGTTCACCATAATAATTTGTGGGGCTATACAGTTATCCAGGGATAGTGGACAGCAAGGATTTTACCTGTTTGAAATGTTGGCAAATTGCTAGTTAATTCTATTCTTACAGGCACTGACTTTGGTACATGGTCTATTATGCCCACAGCCCAATTTACACAGCACACTGAGCCATTTAAAATTGCCATTCACATTTATATTATTTCAGTATTACAAATGTACATTTTTTGCAATGGCAAAAAAAAGTGCAAATACTGCAAAAGTGTAGCATATCTGTAAAATGGAATATTAGTAATTGAAAGGAATGAAGTTACTGTTAGATGCTAGGACATGAATGATCCTTGGAAACATGCTAAGTTTAAGCAGCCAGACACAAAAGGCCACCCATTTATGTGAAATGTCCTGAGTAGGCAAATACAGAGACAGAAGATAAGTGGTTTCCAGGGGCTGGGAGAGAGGTGTGGGGATGGGGCAGGGGGAGATACATTTCAAACATGCCCCTCAGATGCTTTCCTCAAACAGTGTTATGGTTGTGAATTTAAAGTGAGACTGGTCAGCATGGTGCATGGTGCATTAGCCAGCTGTGTGTGTGATGGAGATAGAGAGTTCAATCTAATTGGGATTGAGGCTTTATCAGACTAGTATGATGAAGGGGGAGGGAGGCGAGGGAGTTAATGGGGAAAGATGATGATGGTGAGCCATGGAATCTTGCCTGGGTAAGGGAGGAAATGAGGACATGAGGAGTGGGGTGCAGTGAAAAAGTGGTAATATAAATAGATTGATTATAAGTCCTTGATGATAAGTCCTAGAAGGGTCTGACTGAAGGCCCCTTCAACAAGATATTGTAAATTTTTCTGGGCAAAAGGTATGTCAATGAGTAAGAATGCATACTCTGTTAAAAATAAAAGCAAAGAGATTTATTGAAGGTTCAAAACAGTTCAAACCAGGGACACGTCTGATCTCACAAAGTGAAATCAAACTCTCCAAAATGGTGGAGTTACATAGGCATATTTATGAGGTAAACTACGGCATTCTCATTAGAAGCTGCAAGATTAGGTAGGCAGGAGGTGAGATAACTCAAAGGGGGGAGGCTTTATAGTGATTGGTTGGAAACACGAATGTGGGCTATTTGGATTGGTTAGTTTAAATACATGACTAAGGGGGGTGGTTACAGGGAGGTCACAAGGTAATTATCTTAAAACGTTTCCTGAGGGCTGCTGAGAGGATTCCTGATAAGGGTCTTGTGTTAAGACCCTCCCTTAGGCCCATTCTTCCCATATCTTTAGTTTAACTGCAGACAAAAACATTTCCTTTGTTACGTACTGAAGTCTGAATAAGGGTTGGACAGTTGCAGGGGAAATAAACAAAAGATGAGATGAAGTTGGGGCTCAGACCTGGGCCAATCATTCTGATACTAGTCAGCACCTCAGTTTTGGAACTCTCACCCAGGCAAACGGTTTAGAAGCAGAGAAAACTTGATACTGCATATCAAGTTCCTTTGGCTAGCTTCTTTTCAACAGAAGAATCCCCTCCCCCATTTTGGCCATGATTTTACTATGGGTCTTCCTAGTGGTAGCTAACAAAACTGTGTTTGCATTTTATTTGCAGGTTTCAGAGATTAGACTACGTATATCTAAATGCTGGAATCATACTTAATCCTCGGCTGAAAATAAAAGAGTTTTTCTCTGGCCTCTTTTCAAGGTAACTTCTATTTTCGTGTTGAATTCAGTGGAGTGAAAGATCTTTATTCTGCTCAGGTGTGTTTTGTATTTCATACATATTTTGATGTATGGAATAGTAGTGGTAAATGGTATGGGAATGTTGACTAGGATGATTAAGTAGGAATAGGTATTCCCATAGTGTTGTTAATGGAAAATTGCTGTTGTGAGAAAGCTGCTAGACATGGTGGTTTTAATGAGATTCAGTCTCCAGGACACTAAAAAATTTGGATTGTTTTTCAGGATGAAATATGAAATTAGTAATTCTTGAAATGAATGACTGTGTCAGTGTCTTCCTTCCTTCTTATTCTCAAAAAACAACCAAGGGAAAACCCTTAATTACACCTACTCCCTCAGCAAGCTACTAACCCAATTATTTGCTCTTCTCTGTAACAAAGGTTCTCAGAAGAACTGTCTGTAATTTATTCCCCTCATCCTTTCCTCTCTTAAACCCACTCCAACCAGGCTTTCACTCTGTCCCTTCTACCAGAACAGTTCTTATCAATGACAACAATGACTATCATTGCTAAATCAGTGATCCTTATCTTACTTGACCCATCAGCAGCATTTAACATAGTTGATCATGCCCTCCCTATTGAAATATTTTCCTCCCTTAGCTTCCAGGACACCATGCTTTCCTGATTTTCCTTCTGCTTTGCCACCTTTTCCTTCTCAAGCTTTTTTTTTCCTCCCTGGCATCTGAATGTTGGAGTTCTCTAGGTGCAGTTTTTAGTCCTTGCTTTTTATGTGCACCTCCAGATCCTTTCTCCACGGCTCTGTAGCCTGAGAGGCTGGCATTTCAAACTCATCTGTCAGCTTCCCTTGCCATCTGTCCTCCAGTTGGTTTTGGCCATTGAGAGGAGGAGGTAGGAAGGTGGGAGGAAAGAGAGATCAGAGTATTTGCTTTCTTGGATCCCTCCCTGATGGGCAAGGTGGGGAAGAGGCTGTGTTCTTCTGCTGAAGGCCACAGCTTTTGTCAGGTGCCTTCTAGAGGTACAGCCACAGCTCTCTCTGGGTTCTGGTACCTGCTTTCTCTCCTTGCTTTTCAGGGACGGTGACAGCCTTCCACTAAGCCCTAAGATGCATCACCATCCTTTGTTGGTTTCCTTTAAGCTAGCTCATACGTATGTGAAAATCCCTTCATTAAACTTTCCTCAGTTATCATCTTTGAGTATGTCCTCCATTTCCTGTCCAGTCCCTGAGTGATGCAGTCCTCTTCTCTTCTCTACCTATGCTCACTCTCTTAGTTATCACATATGGTCTCATTGCTTGAAGTAACATCTATATGCCAATGAATCCCAAATTGATATACCCAGTCCAAACTTTCCTTCTGAACTGTAAAACTTTGTATCTACTGCCTATTGAACATCGCTTTTTATTTCTAATAGTTATGTCCACCATGACATATCCAAAAGCGAGCTCCTGAATATCCCCCAAACCTGCTCTGTCCTCAGCCTTCTCCATTTTATGGCTACAGCCCAATTTCAACACAACATTTAAGTCTTCTCATTCCTTCATTAAATCCTGAAATAGCTCCACACATCACTCAGAGCGAAGGCCTGAACGTTATTAAAATGGCCTGAATAGCTCTACATGATCTGACTTCCATTACCTATCTGACTTCTCTCTCCTTTGTGCACTTTATTCTAGTCACACTAGTCTCCTTGCTATTTCTCTAACTCATTAAACATGCTACTCCTTTAAGAACTTTGCACCATATATTCCCTTATTCCTTCAAGACTTTGCTCAAATGTCACTTTCCCAGTGAGACCATTCTTGGTCATGCTAATTAAAACTGTCACCCCACCCCTCATTACCAATCCTTACTCAGCTTTCCTTTTTCTTTTTTACACAGCCCTTCACATTTTCTAACTTTATTATTTATGACTACTGTTTATTCTCTGCCTTCTTCTCTCTGAGATAAGGGATCTCTGTATTTCAAACACAAAGAACAACTCCCAGGTGCTCAGTAAATGTTTGTTGAGTGAATAAATCAGTGACTATCAGGAAGAACATTTAAAAAATCACATAGATTTCTTAATGGGATCCTAAGGTACCTAGAAGGAATTTTTAATACCTTATTTTACCAATCTGTTTTTTTAAGAACAGTATTTCCAGAGATATTAAGTATTATGTAAAGCAAAAGATTGCGTGGAAACATAAGTGAAGAATGTTTTGAAGATGATACCCTTCTTTTGTCAACTTATGTATGAAAGATTCTGGGTGATCTGGGTAGTGCTAGTAAAACGAAAATCTCTGGTTTCTATTTCAAGACGGCAGACTAAGCATATAGTACTGCTTCTCCTTACCACATTAAATTTGGGATACACATAGGCAAGCGCAATTACAGAAGTTTGAAAAGTTGCAATATGAAAAATAGATCCAGAAGTTCCAACATTTGCTTAATATAAGACCCCCTGATACAGAAAATAGAGGAAATTGGGAGAGAAATACCAAAAAGAATTCAAGAAAAGGTGGAATCATTGGGCAGTTACTGTCTAAAAGTTTTCTGTCTTACTATCCCTTTTCTGGTACTTTGGCTAGGGAAATCAGGGTTCTTAGGGGGCTTTTTTTTCATCTGCTATGTTGGCTTTTCTAGGTTGCCATCATCTCTAGCACTCAATCTGGGATGTATTTGGCAAGAAACAAAACAAAACAAGGAACAAAACAAAAAGTGGTGCCACTTTTCGTCCTGAGGCCCATAGTTAGTCCTCTGTCTTCTCTTCCCCTTTCGGGATCTTCTTATGTTTGTTTTATACATAATACCTGGGCCGTATAGCTGTACTTAGTGAAGGGAATACGGAGAAGTGCCATCTTGATCTGGAGCTGAAAGTCCATATATATTAAAAAATCTTACAGTAGCAAGATACAAAACATGAAGAACCTAGAATAAGTCTAATAAGAAATGTACAATTTGTTGTTGAAGAAAAACCATACAAATTTGTAGAAAGTGATACAAATGACTTCAAATATATCATCTTAATGGATAGTAATACTTATTGTAAATCATCACCTTCCTTTAGAATTAATCTACAAATTAAATGCAATCTCAATCAAAATTCCAATGGGAATTTTTAAAAACTTGACAAGCAGATGATAAGAGTAATATGGAGGAGGAAAGATGTAAGAATAGCCAAGACAATTTTGGAATAGAAAACTAAGGAGGAATGAGTCCTAGTAGATATCTAAAATATATCATAAAGCTTTAGTAATTAAAATACTATGGAATTAATGCAGGAAATAATGAATGGAAGAGAACAGAGTCTAATAACAAATTCTATAAGTGAGTGTCATTAAAAATCAGTGGGACAAACAAACAACTCATTCAGTAAATGGCATTGGAACAATTGACTCGTCATGTAGAAAAAATGAAGTTCAATCCCTGTCTCATAAAAGTCACAAAAATAAATGTTAGATGGGTTAAAGAGCTAAATGTAACTGAGTAAATGAATGAAAAATACATAAAAAATGAAGATTGAACCACAAACATATTAGAAGAAAACATAGAAGAATGTGATCATGAATTTGGGAGTAAAGAAGGATTTTAAAACAAGACTCTAAAATCAAAAACTATGAAGGAGAAGATGGGTGATATTGACTATAAAACAATAACAACTAATGCTGGAGACATGTATTTAAAAGACAAGGGTGAAGCTGGTAGGAGTATGTTCATACATATATAATGGATAAAATAATAAAACCTAGAAAATAAAAAAGTACTACAAATTCAATATGACAATGACTAATAACTGC